GGATCAACTTACCCTTCCGGAGCACCTGAGATCACATCCGGATTTTTGTGGTGTTCTTATTGCCCAGTCTTTAGTTTTCTATGTTGTGTTTAGTATACTGTAACATTTTGTTGTTTCTTTTAGTCCTTTTCTTATTTTTTAGCCATTTCGTTGTCAGTTTATTTTCGACTTATGAGTTTGAATGTCCCTTTGGTATCTTTCGCCTCTCTTTTAGAAATATGTACAATAATTTTCAAAATATATCTAAAAATACTGCAGCACTCTCTTAAATCAATTCCCTATGTAAATACCACATGGAATTACAAATCATCGTCGTCACGTTTAATTTCATCACTTCTCACAGATTGGAACAAAGGACATATTGCCTGATAAATGATACATACTTTGGTTTAGAAACTTATTAACAGAGATTTAATTGAGTTTTCTCGGTTTGTATTATCCTATGGATATTAGTTTCATTGTACTACAGCCGCTTCTGTAACTTTTAATCTCTATTTTATATAAATCGGTTTAAAAGCAAACGAATAAGACAATAGTTACTATGGCATGTGAACACTAGTTTGGGAATCAATAACAATATTTCAACCAAACAACAAAAGAAAAATCGACACGCATTAAGTAAAATGAGAGATACGAGCTTTTGATAAATATTGAATAAACAAATTTGAATTTCTACCACTTGTTCCATTTGCTGCAAGTATTTTATTTCAACTAATCTCATTTCTTAAATTCTTCTCTTCGTTTATAATTTGCAACGTGGAGATTCGCTCGATATATGAAAGATAAACTAGAATATACCAATAGAGCTCAACATCCATATTTCCTTTGCAAAAATCGTATCCTATTTTTTCCATGCGCACAAAATGCGTTTCTTGAATAACCATAATCATGTACTCTCTTGCCTTAAAAAGGTTTATAATTGCAAAAGTCAATTCTCTTAGGCAAAGGTAACCTTAGACAGATTTGGCTTATTTAGGTTCTTTTTTGTCATAGCTCTTCAACAGTTCCTGTTCTTATACATCATTGGCTTTCAAAAAGTCGGCTTTGAGCGTTCCTGATGAAGGTAAATCCAGAAAAGCGCATCTGACGCATGAAATTTATAACGTTTTGTTCTCATTTTTTGCTAATGGACTTGCAACCTTAATTTCAACAGAATAACATTTTGCTTTGAACTGGAAAAGTAGCCATTCTGATCAGATGTATATTAAAACAGGAACTTCTTGAAAAGATAGCTAAACTACAATTTCACCAAACTGCACGTTTACATCGCCCAAATTATATTGTGTAATAAATTTATTGGATAATAATATGTAAGTTTCAGATTTTCTTTTTGAAAATATTCTTAGTGGAAAGTATTGCTCTTGTTCTGAAGCCAAATTTACAGGATAAAAAAAGAGTTAACATTAAAACATAATAAAGTATATACTGCTATAAATGTACAGGTATTTCACATCCTGTCGATACAGTTTTCTTATATTTTTGAATTGTACAATGTCAAGCGTTTCGCAGACTGTTTATGACGTCTGTAAACTAAATCTGATGGATATGCATTGCTTGATACTTAAGTCTGGGATAACATTATTCTTTATTAGATGTTTTTGGCTTTGAACTAGATTTGAGACTCTGCGATAACTGTTATATCGGTGGTTTGCGTCTATTTTTTTAAAAAATTGTTGTGTCCTTGAGCTTCGTTATGATCTATTGAGTTTAGCCATTTGCATTTGAATTTTACAGTGTTTTTCTTATACTGTGTTGTTACATCCCTGTCCCAGGTAAGGATGGTGATTGAGCGCTCACAAACATATTTAACCCCCCCCCCCCTTTCCCCACATTCTTTATGTGCCTGACAAATGTCAGGAGTCTCTTAGACTAATTCAGTGGTTGTCGTTGGTTCCTGTTTGTCATATTTTTTCATAAATTGTATTGTTATAAATAAGGTTGTTTGTTTTCTCGTTTAAATTGTTTCACGTTTGTCTTGTCGGGGCTTTTTATAGCTGACTACCATATGAGTTTTTCTCATTGTTGAAGGCCGTGGGGTGACCTATAATTGATTATATCCAAATCCTTTGAACTTTGGTGGATAGTTGTCTCATTGTCAATCATACCCCATCTCCTTATTTTTATATCGGTTAACAATCAACTTTGATTTTTTTTTTTAAGTAATGCAAATGAATTATTAGTTCCGAAGAATCAAGCTAGCTGAATTGCAAGTTTTATTCATAAAACCATCAGATGCTATACAAATCTATAAATTAAATATGTGCTATTACGTGTCATTTTACCATTTTACACACCTTTTTATCACATTCTATTATTATCTGATGTTCTCTTACTATAACACATAGCTTGCTTCCGAATAATAACTCATTATTTACATTACTCCATAAGAGTGTATAATAAAAAGCTTCATGTGCAAACAATGTAAACATATTATTGTTTTTTACTTTAAACACATTAAAAGGACGGTAAACAAAAGTACTTTCAAAACAAGCTTATCTGAATCTGAAAATGTAGCTTCGTGTCAACGACTGTATTGCGTAAAATGTAAGGATTGAGATTTGTAATTAATTACTAATTACGTTTGTTTGTGTAAATGCAACAATAAAAATCGATTGTAAATAACTATACTGATTATCAAAAAGAATTTGACAATTTCAAGAGAGTTAAAAAAAGGAAGGAGTAGTATAGAAATAAGAAGATGTGGTAGGGTTGCACATGAGACAATATTCCATCTGGTACAAAATGACGTTGAAGTTAGCATTTATAGGTTACATACCGGTGTAATATAGCCATTTTCCCCCAAAGCAGTTTTTCCCCGGGGGAAAAACTAGCATGATCCCATTTCCCCCCGGGGAAATTTGAGATCATTGAAATGCTTCCCCCGCGGAAAGTTGGTAATACAGTACGTATATACATGTAGCCACTTTTCCCCCACGATAAGTAACCATCAAAATTGCACGGCCATTTATTGCATATCATTTCCATATTTTCGTTAGAAATGATTGATCTCTGGAATGCTTAAATAATCTGTTTTTCGGCTTGAGTTGCAAAGAAGAAATGTTTGGTACAAATTGTGTTCGTTTTGTCTACAAGCGTCTCACTTTAAAGGTCTATCGTTAGGGAGAGGATGTGGGGTACCTATATTTATAGGGGTGCCGTTTGCAGTCAAAAAATCACCCCCATTTATATATTGACTCTGTCTACAAATCCGACCTATTCGTATGGCTGACATGAAAATCACGATATTTCATGGCGTCATTCAGTCATGTTACGCTTTGCAATTCCATTCTTTTGCGGGTGACATATGAAATGGAACGGATATGGGGCAATGGTACAAAGCCAGGACAAAATTACCCAATGCAACATGCAAACAAGACATAAATTGATTTCAGTACATCCATTGTGATGGGAACCCTCCTTTATAAGCAGTCGTTTCCGGACGGTCTTGAAAAAATATATAAAGAAAGCATATCCAAGTGCACACATCGTATGTTTCAAACATTTCCTACAACAACTGTTACCACCCGACAATATTCCTTCTTCATGTGGGCTTCATTGGATTAGAACATGGGTTGTTCATATGGCCTTACGACCTGCTGCTACAAAAAGTCACGAAACACATACCAAGGGTTCACAGAGGAGAATGGATGTGATCACGACATCAGACTATGCTTTATATATATCCTTTAATTAATTTCCAACTGACGTCGCCGACGTTACTACAAGAGCGGACCAATTGGCTTCTCGTGCTACTAAAGGGGAAAAATAGGCCTGATCCTGGTTTTCCCCAATCGCGCAGAGGGAGAAAACTGGGATCACGCCAATTTTTCCTGGGAGAAATATTTTGATACATAAATATTTGGAGGTTCGTCTGTGTTACTTTAAATACTATAACCTGAGTGGAAAATATAATTCTTACGCGAGTGAAAATAGCATCTAAACGTACGAATATATTTCTTTAGTTGTCAGTATGGCCATCTTAAAACGTTGCTGTCTATTTGTTTTATATGTTTAAAGATACAGCTTGTTTCTACCGAATCGGCTGAATGGTAACACTAAAATATTTATTATGTAGTCATCAGAATAGCGAAAAAGAATAAGAAGTCTGAGACAATACGAAATAAAACATAAAGACATTTGACGCTAAAATGAAAAACAAATTGAAATAAAACAATGACATCCACTTTCAACAAACAAGTATGCAAGCACCTACATACTACTCTAAGTTATTTAACAGAAAACAGGCCACTAAATATTACTAACTATAAAAATTTTATATACAAATCTGAGACTATTAGAGGAGACACTTGGAATTGAGTGTACATATTACTAAAGATTGTGTTAATAAACAAACAACTAGAATAGTTATCTAACTGTAGTAACAAAATCAAACTGGAGTAAACTGAAAGTATGAATGACTATTACAGATTATATCAAAATTACAGAAGACAAACAAGTAAAGACTAAATTATAAACAGCAAAGCGACAACCAGGATTGAATGACATAATTGGATGATTCATATTTTTAGTTTGCATGGCACTTATTTAAAACCCTTCATAAGGTACGCTATAAACCGAAATTTATGGAAGAAGTAAAATACTTTTAGTCGACGTGCATCTTTTGATTATTGAGTATATAACTGTACATTATTTTATTATGCCTCAGTGTCGTGCTGTCACGGATGCTGTACTCTGATAATTCACTTTATTTTCAAACAGAAATATAATTTAAGCCAATTGATTTCATTTGAAATGTCATTACACCACGCCAAGCGAACATATAAATCCTATCTGCGTATGAATCTTCACACAAATGTACAACATATATGCCATTGAAGATATGCTTTAAATATACAGTGATATTTCGTCCTTTATAAAATGGCATCTGTTGAATTATTAAATCTTACTACCAATAGCTGGATAAGTATGGTAGATAGTAACAAAACAATAACGTCACCAATTTATACTGGAAACGAAACTTTTTCGGAGCGAAACTTGTTGGTACCAATGGTTTTTATAGGATGTTTATCGGTAATAGGCGTTCCTGGAAATGCACTGATACTGGTGGTATTCAATTTAAAACATAAACCAAGTGTTCATAGAACTATTATTCTAACATTAGCTACATATGATTTCCTCTTGTGTGGAATTACACTTCCGTTTGAAATCTACGATATGAAAAACCAGTTTACATTTCATTCAGTATGGGTTTGCAAAATTTTCAGAACAATTAATTACTTCTTTGCTTTCAATTCGGGATATACATTAGTTTTGATGACCATTGACAGGTTCCGAAGAGTTTGTAAACCAATGAAAATTCAAATGACGATATCTGTTGGAAGGATCTGCATATTTGTAATCTTTGTCGCCTCAGCCATAGTAACAGCTCCAAATCTTTTTATTCGAGGAATACATGTCATTCAAATTAATGCAAACTTAAGTGGATATGATTGTACTATATCAGACAAATACATTAACAGCAACGTTCCTGCAATATATCATGGGATTGTACTAATTTTATGTATGCTGGGAATAATAATAGTTATATTTTTATATGTGTGGATAGGGCATGCAATATTGGTTCATCTTCGGTATCAAAAAAACTTCAAAATTGATCGACGCACTTCTGACCATTCTGCTAGTTTTGTGACTTCAACTTCTTTTACAGACATAACGGACACCAGTACTACAAATATTACAAAAGACAGGGAGACAACTCCTCCAAAAAGGAATTATAGAAAACGTAGTATTGGAAATGAGAGAAAAGAAAAGATAGACGCATCAAGCTTTAAAATAACAAAAATTGCCATCACTATCAGTCTTTTCTATATTGTAAGTTATATTCCAACTCTCGTAGAAAGCATACTAGAAGGCATTTATGGAGAAGTCGTAATGTCTAAATACTTATCCATACCTTTCATGTATCTTATTCAGAAAGCCTTTGCCATTAACCACGTGGTGAATCCGATAATATATGGATTCATAGATACAAAATTTCGAAATGATTGTAAAGTGATATTTTTTCAGTGTTTCAAAAAATGTAAATATTGAGCTATGTAGATGCAGATTGATTCTCTTTAGTATTCAGAGATTTATTGTATCAGGACACTTTTTTATATATATAATTTTGTTCAAAGCTACTAAGAGGACGATATGGAATGGTGTGCTGAATTTATCTATTGGCTGAGGTAAAATCGATTGTCATTAGATATCGTTGGTCCTATGTGGTCTGTAGAATGTCAAAATAAACTTTGCTTTAAATGTTAGATAGAAATGTTTAATACTAACCATTAAAAAATAAAGTCAACATTTTACGAGTTAGAGTTGTTTAAAAAGTCAGCGACGGAAAAGTTTGCTGTACATGACCTGTAATAAGAGGAAAGCTTTATTTCTCTAGGTCTGATTATTTGTGTTCACACCAAAAAACTTTAATATTTTACGAACAGCTTACATGTAAAACCGTCGATGTTGAAATATTTATCGCTTACTGAAAATGAAGACACCAAATTGTGGGTAATTTTAAAATTCCTTAACTGGGAATCGCAAGTCGTCTGTCGTACCAAATTATTTGCCTGATATCTTTGATGAGTTTTTGCTAACGTCAGATATGTTTGTTATCAAAACGCCAATACCGTTAAGTACCGATTATCAGGTTGTCTGCATATTGAGATCGTAAAATATTAGCTGCGAGTCACAAGCAGCTGATATTTAACAATATGAATATGAATACAACCAGATAATTCTGGTCAAACTTATCAACGTCGGTTCATATATTATGACGTCCGTGATATGTCCGGGTGAACGTATTTGACGTCACAAAGCCGTGATATGCAATTTTATTAAGAGCTGAGCAGAGTGATACAGACAGAGGGACGACTGATAAGTACCGATTATGAGGTTGTCTGCATATTGATATTGTAAAATATGGCCGGCTCAAAGTTATTAAGACCAGGTCAACATATTTGACGTCACAAAGCCGGGATATGCAATTTTATTAAGAGCTGAGCAGAGCGATACAGACAGTGGGACGACCGATAAATGCATTGATTGTATTAGAATAAAACAATATATCTATGTAATTTTATCAATCTTTATTTACATGATTTTGACATCGAAGACCTTAAATTTTGTGTCACATGTTTTAAAAATGTATCTACTAACAGCTAATATGAATAATGGAACTAAATAATTTCCAGACTAACTAGCTAAGTTGTAATATGACAAACTCCTTGTATACCACATCGAATATTTCTGATATAAAAAAACAATAGTAAAATAACAAAAATACCGCACTCCAAGGAAAATACAAAATGGAAAGTCCTTTATAAAATGGCAAAATCAAAAGCTCAAACACATCTCAGGAATGGAAAACAACTGTCATATTCCTGACTTGGTACAGGCATTTCCATATGTAGAAAATGGTGGATTAAACCTGGTTTTATAGCTAGCTAAACCTCCAAGTTGTATGAAAGTTGCGTAAAATTCCATAATACTGCCAACAATATTTGAGCAAATCAAAAATGTCAAAAAATGGGGTATAGCAGTCAACATTGTGTTATAATCTTAACCACTATAAAAACAAATAAATTTTTCAACAAAGAAAAACAAAATTGCATATAGACACTCTATAGACAAAGAATATAAGTAAAAATGAAAGACAAGAGTATAAAATTGACCAAAACACAATAACACAATACCACAATGGCGGGATGTATAAATACCAAGCCACGCCAAAAGTATAATACCAAAAATGAACTAAACAGTTAAAGTTAAAATTGTACAAGGACAAAAAAAAAGAAAACTGTAACATGTAATTAAGATGATAAACAATGCCAGTACCTAGAATCTATACTTCAAGACCATCATGTATTATTTGTGAAGTTGATACGGAATATTTATCAAAAAGGTCTTCGTATCTTCCAATGAACTTTTTTAGAAAAAGGACGAGACGTTCTTTGACATAACCCTGGTTCATCAACTTTCTGCTCAGACACTGGTGACGTTTTATAACGTCTAAGTAGCAGCTTCAAGCTCTTAAATATCGAATGAGTTGGGAAATGCATATCCCATATGCAGGGGAAGTTGGTATATTGCTGCTAAGGTGGGGAAAATTCTGACAAAGTGTCCAGTTCAACTTCTTCTCGTTTAGCCCATGCTCTGGCGTAATCCTCAATGGAATTCATAATTATTTTTGAAGTTATGGTTCCAATTGATGTGCTGGGGTGTTCTGAACTTAGGGCTATGAAATATCACCTTTCGGAGATGTTCATGTAGAATTATGTGTAGAACCCCATTAATAACATGTCCAGATTGGCTGTAAATATAAGGCGAGTGGGAACAGTCACATGTCAGAGGGTTTTTAATTTAGGTATTCTTCTAAATCAAGGTCCTGCAATGCCTGCTTGTAGTTAAATATTTTAGGTGCAATGGTTTTAGTGTAACTGTAAGATACAATAGCAACAGACTGATTTCGAAAAGAAAGTGGAATTTTAGATGTTACCTCTTTGTGATGATGAACGTTGCTGATGTTGATAGCATCAATTCCTTTATTAGTAAACTGAACTGAAAATAATTTCCTCTTATCATCGTGTAAAGGTTCCAATCTTACTGGTTTAAAATGACAGAAAAGAGCTACATCACAAATTATACTGACCAGTCTTTACATTGGAGAAAATATATTTACGCATCCCTTGTCAAGTGCATAATCTCTCAAACATTTAAGAAAATTAACAGGTAGTGAAAAAAGAATATTTCTAATGTAATGTAACCCTAGTGGATAATGAAGATGTGAAAGAATATCATCAAAGCTCCCAGAGAGCTATCTAGATTTGGAAGACTTTTTTTACATTGGGCCGTTGGTAATGTATTTGCCCATGAATACGCTGGGGTTGTAAGGTAGTATTAAATAAGCTCATTACATTTACATCACTGCAGGCTGGACTTGACGAATTCCCTACTCCTTTGATGTTATCATTGCAACCATATAACATTGCAGTTCCTAGTTCCCTAGTCCAGAAATTTTGTCTATTTTTTCGGAAAGGAGTACTTAGTCTAGGGCTATTAGTGTGGTTATAAATTTTCTCGATGATGCGTACTTTCTTAGATAAAGAAGGAGCATGGTCCGGTCGATTAAAATGGTTATAAAGAACCCTGAATTGTGGATCTTTATTATCAGACCGGTGTTGATTCATTTTATTACGCAAAGTTTGTCGAGTTTCACCAACATAAAGTATCCCACACAAAGTACATTCAATTCCATAAACGACATTGTCCGTTGAACAGTCCAGAGGCTCAAAAAATTTTGCATAATAAGTTTTTCCTGTTAAGTTACTAGTGAGATCTGGAGAAGTGATTAGCATATAACATGTCTTACATGTGCTATTCTTTCCTTTTTTATGCATATGGTTACATGTAAAAATGATAGTTCATTCACTAGTAGTGGGTGTCTTTAAACAGTCAAAAATATTAACAGTACATGGTTATAATTTTTGAAAAGTATCTGAATTTTAAAAGTAATAATCACCTTCCGGTTGTACATGAGTCAAATCATGGATACCCCTAACTATACAAACACCTAATAATGTTTAAGTATTTGTCGGATGGTTTGTCTATTATAATCATCCGTATTGTTATATGATAAATTCCATCTGCTAATCGTAGCTTTTATAAAGTCAAGAATATCGACAAAAATAAATGAATCCACAGTAATAAATATCTTTTGTATTTTCATTAGAATACATTTTAAGGGTGACTGAATAGCTACTTGGGTATTAGCTAATTTTGAACTGATTACTCAACAAATGTTGCACAACCTGTTTTTATCGGGTGAAAGTAAGACAAATTTATTTTTTGAAATGTCGAGTGACCTTTAACAAATGTCATATACATATTAATAAAAGAAGTTGTGAGATTTGCGTCACTGATACATCAACTCAACGAAAAAAAATGCACATCTAGACGTCAATTCACATTCAATACAACAGACAGGTGTCTATACAATATGTTAAGATCGAAAACGTCCTGAGTATATATAGGTTAGGACTAAATTTAACTTAAACATTCAAAGATCTGCTATTAATACCAATTGATCCAAAGAACAAAACCATTTAGATATGTCATCAAGATATCATGAAATAAGACTTATTATATTCACATGTATAGTCGTCAAATATATTCAAGATATGTTGCGTCAATTGTTCATAGAATAAACTATTTATCCATCAATAATTCTTCAGAATTCTCTATGTGCCTGTTGTGATTACACACGTAAATACTGACCCAATATCCCATAGCTTCAATTCATCCTCGCCTTTTAATATTCGTAATTAACTAAATATTGTGAAATGATAAATACCTGGTACTATATATAAAAATGTAACTCCCTAAACCAAGGTTTTTTTGTAAATTTCGAAAATTGTTCAATAAAAAGGTTAATTGAAATTTTGTATTTCTTGGATTTGAACAATTTTAGCAGACACCGGAACCAATTACGTAGGTGCTTCTCGTGTAAAGTACATATCGTAAACCACTTAATAGTTCAAACAATAAATGTTGACCTTGATCATTGTTAATGGTTTTTCTGTTATAGTTACAGATTGCAAATTAAAAAAGGTAATTGTATTTCTGTCATTTTTTATGAATAAAGAGAGATGTTATGTACAATAACTATGACTGCGATCCTTTGTTCCGACAAAAGTCATATAATTGTACTTAACATATTTCAGTGATCATAAAATGGATTAAGAACGTAACTTTCTATCATATATTCAGGCTACGTTATTCATACTATGCGTTTTGAGCTTATTTATGGGATGATAAATTAGATGAAAACGTTGAAAAGACGATAACCGGATATTTTCTATAAAGGCATAAAATCCTTCCTACCGTCATTTTATGGATATGTGACGTTTTTCATATTTCTTTCTTGTCGTACGTTGATGGTGAGTATCTTGGTAAACAAATGTTACGTAATTTTGATTACCGAGGTCTAGAAAAAAAAAAAACCCAAAAAACTCAGTTTTTCGATAAATTTTATGTCGACTAAGACATTAATTTGATTGTTTATAGTTTAATCTCGCCAACTGAAAATTTAAGTGATTATACCAGACGATTTAAAATGTATAACACAGTTACGAAAATAACGTATTTCTGTTTAGAAAGAGAAGAACTGCTATACTAACTACA